GGGTAAAGCAGCAAGGATTACATAGATACGTATAGGGCACAATGAAATGTATGTGAAAAATAAGCAAAGTTTGATGAATAATTCATGCGGACCAATCAAACTTAAGATTTTGCAGACAAATCCCACTCCAAACAGTGTATAAACCATACACTCATTATATTCATTCCTGATATATTTATCATTATCGTTATATTGATGTAATTTTTGTGTAATATATGATTATTGGACTATATCAAAGAGGCTGGAAGAGATCGTTGATGACATGATCTAGACATTTTTTTGCCATGACTAACCTATTTGATCGATTGAACCTCCTTTTAAATAGAACTTACTTCCCTTTAATGACTTTCGTATTAATAGATCTAAATAATGCCAATAGCATAAGGTTAGTTTTAGTTAGTATTATTTGTATCATTACATTTTTTTTATGTTTTACTTATCTTAATAAAGACCCAAATTCAATATATTGTCTTCTTATAAAATGTTGTTAAGGCCTTTGATCAAATATAAATCGATCCTAATAAAATAAAATAAATAAATATTAGTAAAAGATCTATCCTAATCATAATACAATTCCTTGAATCCACGCATACTTATCTTAAATTTTGTTAACTATCATCAGATTTTAACATAAGCAAATCAATTATAAAAAAAAATGCAATGATACTAATAATACTAACTAAAACTAACCTTATACTATTGGTATTATTTAGATCTATTAACACGAAAGTCATTAAAGGGAAGTAAGTTCTATTTTAAAGGAGGTTCAATCGATCAAATAGATTAGTCATGGCAAAAAAATATCTAGATCATGTCATCGACGATCTCTTCCGGCCTCTTTGATATAGCCCAATAATCATATATTACACAAAAATTACATCAATATAACGATAATGATAAATATTAATTTAATATTGATTTAATTTTCGTGTAATATATGATTATCGGGCTTCGCCAAAGAGGCCAGAAAAGTTCGTTGATGACGTGATCTGGTCATTTTTTTGCCATGATTAACCTATCTAATCGATCAAAATTATCAGTAGAAGTACAGTATATGATGTAATATAAACATTAATATTACCGTTTAAAAAATACATTAAAGAATTATTTACCTCATATACGTTATTTCCAAATATCCGGAGATGACATTGTTGAGAATGTAAAACCATATCAAACAATTTTAGAAAGAAATCTTTGGAAAGATATAATGAAAAGAGTCGTAAATCCAAACGACAGATATCATTAATAATTATTTCACCTCGAATAATCATAACACCAACATTACCAATGCGTACGATCGAACCATTTTCAACAGTTATCACTGAGGAAAACGCAGCAGAAATTGCAACTTGGGTTGATAAGAAAACTGAAACGTATTCAATAGAAAATAATCCGTATGAGTTTAATTTACTTATTCGTGGATCCAGAGATAGTCTTACTCCTCAATCATTTTAGAAAATATATGATAAGCAAGCAAGTACTATTGTGGTAATGAAGGTTAAAAATACTGATGAAATTCTTGGTGGTTATAACCCTATAGGATGGAATCAATCAGCTAATTATTGGAATACTGGGAAACATTGTAATGATAGTTTTTTGTTTTCATTGAAAAATGGTACTATTCCTTCCTCTATTTTAAGTCGTGTAGAACATCCACGATATGCAATTTATTGTAGTTCTTACTATGGCCCATGTTTTGGTGATCTTTTCATGTACAATAGCTTTAATCAAATTAATTTTGATCAAAATAATAGTTATTATTATGACCAGTATTGCTATAAAAAAGCAATTAGAAATGATGGTTATTTTTCAGTAACAGAATACGGAATATTCCAAATCCGAAGAAATAAAATAGACAAATAGATTATTTGATATAAGTGCCGCCAATGGGAAAACCCGCAAATTTTATTAAATAAGATAGAACTTTATAACAGAGGTTGTCAAGTTAAATATGGTTACACATAAAAGCTTAACATAAATTGGGACGTCGTCAATCAAAACGATACATAGTGAGATCTAACAAATTGTTACACAAAATTATAAAAAATTATATCATGTTTAACTGTAACATGTTAATTGTCATATGTACGTACGTATAAAGTTGTTAAAGTATATATTTTAACAACTTTGTATATACGTACATATGATAATTAACATGTTACAATTAAACACGATATAATTTTTTATAATCTCGTGTAACATTTTGTCGGATCTCACTATGTATCGTTTTGATTGACGACGTCCCAATTTATTCAAATGTATAATAGTATACGCAAATTGAATTGTGTAAGCTAAGTACATTATTAATCATTACGTATCAATATATCGCATAATTATCATTATCAATATCTAAAGGAAAAAAAACCATAAATTATATTTTCCTACAAATGTGCCTAAGAATATCGATATTCAATTAACCGCAAAATTTTTGGAGAATACTGTACGTACATAACTTTAGACTATCTCCGTAAATAATAAATCAATATCTTATCGAATCGGCTGAATAATCATTCGGTTAATTTTTATAAGGTGTCCCAGGAATAATGATAACAGCTGTAAATCTATTGTACCGAAATAATAACTTAACCGAAACGACCGAAAAATCATTCGGCAGATTTTTTATCAGGTGTTTCAGAAATTATGAAAACAGCTGTTCAAACAAGATTATTATCGAATTTAACCGGAGATAATATAACCGATTTATATCCGGTTGTGATTTTTGAAACATCAATAAAACCGGTTCCAATCACTAGTCAGAATTTTCTCCCAAATACTAACTTAATTAACTTTAGGATTAGGTTACTTTTTAGATAAGGGATTCAGAATTTTTAATTGTCGGGATTTTTAACCGTCGGATCTTTGGGATTTTTGCTGTCGGGATTTTTTTGTCGGGATTTCGCTTGTCGGGATTTTGGTCCAAACCCGTTTTCGAGAACATAAATGAAAAGATTATGACAATCATCGATGAATAAAAGAAATTGCATGAGCAAATATTTTCTTTGGAATTTCACATTAATATGTTGAAGGAGGATATAAAACAAATTAGAATCGAAAGTGCTGATTTTATGAACAGGAGATACGGTGTGACAATTTGCTAAAAATATATACCCGCAACTAATCGAACGCAAACCCTAATCCTATGTGATGTTGGGTAAACGGGGAATTGAGCGACAACCCTGTATGATGATGCAATAAATAATCTTTATAAATTGTTCTTGAAGACAGAAATCAAGAGCTTGAGAATACGATAAAAAAATATTAAACCAAATTTAATGAGTTAAATCAAAATATAAAATGGTGTCTATGAATTCATGAGATACAAATTTGGTAGGAAAATTGCATATAATAGTTGATTTTTAATAAAATACAATAACGGGCTTTTAACATAAAAATTTAACTTCAGTATATTAAAACATCCAGAAGGTACAACCAAATTAGTAAGTAAAAAAAAGATCGTATCAGTATACAAGACTCCCTTCGATAGTAAACCACCCACGTACGAAACACAGGATCTCTATCAATTCATCATTATTATGTAAATGTGGTCATTTTGTGTCACCAACACTAACTGCTAATGTTAAATAAACAACTATGATAATTTCAAATTTTGAACATTCTTTCAACGATGACAATTCCGATAATTGATTTTTCGTTATTTGAAGTAGATCCATTCAATTGCTCGAAACAAATTAAAACAGCAAGTGAATCTATTGGATTTTTTTTCTTGAAAAATCATGGGATTGAACGTGAAAAAATTGATAATATGTTTATAAATGTATTATATCTTTCAAAATTTTTAAAATAATTATCATTTGTAATAATTAATTTTTATCATTTATTCAAAAGAGTAAAGAATTTTTTAACCTTTCGTCTGAAGAGAAATCCAAATACGGCATAACAAGTGTAAAAAACAAAGGATATGCTGCTCTGCAACAAGAGACACTTGATCCAGATAACCAAAAGAAGGATTTCAAAGAGTATGTCCTACATTTTAAGTATAAAGGAATGTTTATTCTAGTTTTTTTCTTACTTTGGCTTTATCTGTATGGTATTTTATGAAAAGATCATTTAATTTCGGAAAGATTCATGATGGAAAAGCGGTACAAGAACTTCCCCTATTATTTGAAGAAAATTTGATTGCTTTGGAATCTTTTATGAAGGTAATGAATGAATATTGTTAAATGTGACCGTGTCTCATGATAATATTTTTACTTTAATAGTCTTGCCATAAAATATGTATGAAAATATTACAAGCATTTGCCATTGCACTTGAAATTAATGAAACTGATGGAGGAAAGTATTGGTTTGAGAGAAGACATAGATATGAAGCAGAGTCGGGAGATATTTTAAGAATTCTTCACTATCCTGCTATAAACAGTGTTGATTCTGAAGACATTCGCGCTGGAAGGTAAATTAATAGCACAGGTCGAAATAAGGCATATCAGGTTCAAATCGGTATTATTTAATCCCAATATGAATCCAGTTTCAAACAGAAATTTAACTCAAATAGGATACCAATAGGATAAAAGTCGAGTTCATATCACCGATAGCTCTATAGATAAATCTATAGAGCTATCGAACATTTAATCGATAGCTCTATAAATTTATCTATAGAGCTATCGAAATTCCGATATGTCTTAAAGCTGATATGAACTCGCTTTTACCCTATTGGTATCTATTCAAGTCAAATTTCTGTTTGAAATCAGATTTATATCGGGATTAAATAATACCGATTTGAACTCGATACGTACGCCTTACTTTGACCTGTGTAGTGTAAATTAGGGATCTGCAAATGTGCAAAAGTTTCAGGCATTTTATAGGTATTTTATAGGTACGTACGTACGTACACATGTAAAGTTCTAGGCATCTTTGGGCCAAGCACTTTGTGCCTTAATGCCTAGTAATTTAGACCGGGTCCTGTATGCTTATAACATAAAGTACCGCTTGCATCTCAAAGGTGCCCAATGATTTTATGCCAGATATTTTGCAATTGTGCCATGCCCATGCCTTTTGTTAGGCAGATCCTAGTATCTCTAGTGTAAATTAATTAAAATTCTTTGGATAATCTTTTTTTTTTTTTTTTTTTGTCATGTAGTCATTCAGATTATGGTTCACTAACCATACTTTTTCAAAAAGACATCGCGGGCCTTGAAGTTCTATCCACAGATATGAATTGGATACCTGTCCCTGTTCTTCCAGATTGTATATTAATTAATATAGGCGATCTATTGGAATTTTGGAGTCAAGGATTATTCAAATCCACTCAGCATCGTGTTGTCTTTCACAAAGAAACTTTAAATCAAGATAGATATAGTATTGCTTATTTTTGTCATGCTGAAGATGACGTAGGATTAGACCCTATTCCTAGCCGATTCTTAGTTGTAGATGATAAAGGTGGCAATAACATAACTGCTGGTGAGCACCTGAAAAGAAGGTTGGAAAGAACTTATAAATATTAATATATATTTATAATGTAATCATATACATAGTCCATATATTTATATAGTTTAAGGCGAAGGCACCCATAGCTTGATAATTAAAAATATAATTATACATTCCACCTGTATATACGTGTCGAGTTTCTGTTCTTGTCTAGTATTTCAAGTTTTATTTTGCGAAACAATTGCAAGTAGTCGTGTAACATAAAAATAAAATGACAAGCCATGCGCTTGTTGTCACACACACATATTCGATATAATTTGTAACATAGATAGATAGAAGCTATGCCATCCCTAACAAATTCTTGGTCATTAAATAGAAACTTTGGTGTAGTCATAGACGCTGGAAGTTCTGGCTCAAGAATTCAAATATACTCCTGGAAAGAACATGACTTCGTAAGAAGGGGTAAGGATCCAAAGGATCTTCACATCTTGCCTACCATTGAACGTGGAGATGAGTTTGGTGTAAAATGGCAGAAGAAAGTCGAACCAGGTAAAAATAAACAGAGCCGGATCTCTATTTTTTCGATTTTTATTATTAAGCTAAAAGAGCTGAAGGTTACTTCACATAGTTGAAAGAACGCGATACTTCCAAGGGGAAGATGTATTCAAACGATAGGCTAATATTCGAATCAATTCCACAGGAATATCTTCGTTCGCTTTGAATCCAACTCAAGTAGGCGAAAAGCATTTGAAAGAGTTAATAGATTTTGCTTTGGAAGTTGTACCTCCAGATGAGGTCTCCAATACTCCAATATATTTACTCGCTACTGCTGGAATGCGTTTGTTGCCTCCTCAACAACAAGCAGCTATACTTCAGAGTGCGTGCGATTATATAATGTTTCAAAACCGATTCAAAATGATGGACAAGTGTTCTGATCATGTCCAGGTCATTTCAGGTGAAAAAGAGGGTTTATATGGTTGGGTTGCTGTAAATTATTTAATGGGAGGATTTGAAAAAGATAAAGGAGAACATAAAGTGATCAATTCACTACAATTAAATCAATCCTATGATAATGATCCTAGCTCAACTAAACATTTAACCACTTTTGGTTTCTTGGATATGGGTGGTGCTAGTACACAAATTGCTTTTGAACCCAATGTGGAAGAATCGAAGAAACATGCAAATGACTTGACTTCAGTCTTCCTTTGGACTTTGGATGGTCAACAGATGGAATATAAAGTATTTGTGACCACATTTTTGGGTTATGGAACGAACGAAGCGCGCCGTCGTTATATCGATGATCGTATTAGCAATTATACTTCCACCCACGAGAAGATTGCGAATCCAGATAATTCACGTGAACAGCCTAACGTTTTGATAAAGGATCCTTGTTTGCCAATCGATCTTCTCCTTACTGATACGACTTTACCACCTCCACTATATACTCTTCAGGGAACAGGAAATTTTGAACTTTGTTTAAATTATACCTATCCGCTGTTAAATAAATCCGTTGCGTGTTCCGACGAACCTTGTTTGTTTAATGGCGTTCATACCCCAAATATTGATTTCACCGTTAACCACTTCATTGGAATATCAGAATATTGGTATACTTCTCATGACATCTTTGATCTAGGTGGTAAATGGGATTATAAAAAATTTGAAACGAAAGCCACTGAGTATTGTTCGAGTAATTGGGAAAAGATCATAAGTAATTATCATAAGAATTCGACTTCATCTGATTTACCACGCCTGGAGTTGCAATGTTTCAAAGCCGCATGGTTAGCGAATGTACTACATAATGGAATTGGCATTCCAAAATCAATCAACTCTGAAAGTACAGTTGGTGAATCACCTATTTTTCAGAGTATTAATGATATTAATGATATGCAAGTTAGTTGGACTCTGGGTAAAATTGTTTTAGAAGCTTCAAGCACAATACCTTTGGTATTAGACGCACGTCCAAAACCGCCACCAAACCCTCAACATCACGGAATACTTGGTTATTACAATTTCATGGTAGAATGGATTATTGGACTTTTGTCTTTAATGATGATTTTAATTCTAGTATGGTTTATGTGTTCACGCAAGAATTCACCAAGAAGACGAGATCCCATGTCCATATATTCACGCTTTCTTTCATTAATTTGGCGTGGTACGAAAGATAGTGGTCCAGATTATGGAAGATTAGAAGGTGGGCAATACTCACCGTCTGTTGCATTTCATTGGAAAATAATAAATATTTTTGCCAGAAGTATTAAGTACATTCGATGGAAAATTTTCCAGCTTAATTTACCATTCAGACGGTTTTTTTCAAGGAAAAATTCTAGTGGAAATGTATCAGCAGTTCGGGCGGTTTATAGTGAAGAAATGATATATATTCATTCATAGAGATTGTAGTCGATTATAACTATTACCAGGCAAGGGACATTTCTTTCTAGTTGTACTTGTTAGTCAATTGAGTTGGCATATACAAATTTTTATGTAAATTTTTTGAAAACAACTACTTAATTTAATTAAAAAGACTTTTTAGAATTTTAACATATCCTTTAATATTTAATAATTATTAATAAAAATTCCAATCTTTATAACAAATCGTTATAATGTTAATTAATTTTTTGATACGTTCTTTTAAGTCAAAAATCAGATTTAACTAGTCGCGAAATAACATATCCTTGTGCGTTATTTCGAAACAAAAGGCGTATATCAAACTCACTAAAGTATGGGCGTTCTCAAACTTCAATCCCGAAATGATTTGCTGGTGATCGTAAAACTACAATTATATTTATATAAAATTTTTGATGACAATTCGAATATGCTAATTATAATGTAATTTAAGTTTTCTCGAACGCTATTCTCGATGCGATTAAACGATGCTCATTTATTATAATCAAAATCAAAATATTATCGAATGCCGTCGCCAGTAGGTTTATATCTTCATTGATATTCGATCGTTGTTCGAAATAAAGAAATTATTGACGAAATAATAAAATTTGTTGCAAAAAATGGCAATCATTCGTAATTGTTTTTTTGAGGCTTTCTGGTATTTTCTTTTTTTTTTTTATTATAAAACTTTAGTGTTGAATAAAATAATAATTCGTTGATGATGAGATGGTTTCATGAAACAATTGCTTGAATGATTTTTTTGAATACTCAATTAATTGTAAATTTTGACAAACTAGATATGAGTGTCGCTAAAAGAAAACCCGAAAATTTAAATATAAGTCATATTTGAATTTTCGGGTTTTCTTTTAGCAACACTTA